AATTTCTTAGGATGCCATTTGGCCTGAAGATAGCTCCTGCAACTTTTCAGCGGACCATGGACAGTGTGCTGAGGGGATTACAGGGGATACACTGCATGGTATACTTAGATGATATAATTGTGTTTTCGACAAGTCTGGAAGAACATATACAAAAGTTACGGACGACATTTGACAGAATTAGGGCGACTCATCTAAAAGTTCAATTAGACAAGTCTGAATTTTTAAGGAAGGAGGTTTTATATTTAGGGCATACCATTACAAAAGAAGGGCTACGTCCGAACACAGACAAAATTAATGCTATTAATGTGTTAAATTTTCCTATACCTAAGACAACAACGGAAATTAAAAGTTTCTTCGGACTGGTAGGGTACTATCGACGCTTTATAAAGGACTTTGCCAAGATCACACAACCTCTAACTGCATGCCTTAAAAAGCGAAATAAAATTATCATCGATGAAAAATATATTAATGCGTTTGAAAAATGTAAAGAAATACTAACGAGTGTACCCTTATTACAGTACCCGGACTTCGATAAAACCTTTATTTTGACGACAGACGCCTCTAATATAGCTTTAGGAGCAGTTCTAAGTATTTGTATGGCCTACAAATAATTGTTCCGGGTCTGGAAGTTTGTCCTTGTGCAATTTATGTTTGTAAACTGCCTCCACGACACAGGAGAAAATCCTAGTGTGGGGGTAATGTTTTTAAAAAAAAAAAAAGTTCTATCACAGGGACCTATTGGTAGTGATAGACCTGTTGCAAACGCTATAATTATAGCTATTATATTATATTATAGTAGGACGCTTAGTGACACTGAAAGTAGATACAGCACCATCGAACGCGAACTTTTAGCTGTTATTTGGGCCGTAAAACATTTCCGACCGTACCATTACGGACGAAAATTTGTAATTTATACTGACCACCGACCCTTAGTTTGGCTTTATTCATTAAAGGAACCGAACAGTAAGCTTACCAGATGGCGATTACGACTACAGGGGTACGATTTTGAAATCATTTATAAAAATGGAAAACAAAATACAAATGCCAATGCCCTGTCCAGAATTAAAGTTAATGCCTTAAATTCAGACGACGAAGGTCATTCGATGGACGTTAATTTCGACAGCAAAGAGTATAAGCTTAGGGAGCATCTGAAAGACGTAGTTAAGGAAATTGAAAACTAAACACTCAAATTAAAAGACAATGACACAACGTCCATTGTGACAATATCAGACTAAAGTACTGTTTCCGCGAGTCCTATGTCTCTTTCCGACACAATGTCAATTTGTAGTTCAGAAAAGGTTTCCGAATATCCAATTCGATCACCTTCAGAATCTAGTAAGTCCCAAACTGTGCATTCAGCCGTAGAATTAGAGTCAAACGGAATACCAATACTACACGAGGCTATCGATACAAAGCCAAATCAAATATTAATATTTTCATGGTTTAAAAATGAATATCAGGTTAAAGATATTTCTAGAAAAAAAACAAAAAGTATTACAAGTATTTCTATCATTAGATAATTCCGAATTAATTACAGAATTTTTAAAGAAATATATTAGGCCTAAAATTACATATTTTATATATTTCGAACGAAAAGAACGTCGAAGACAATTTAGCAATATTATTATACACCTTTTTACGAGTAATTTTTGTTGAAGACGAAAAGAACAAAGGGCGATTGTAATTAAGTATCACGAAGGAAAGACGTCACCGGGGTATTAAAGAGACGCTAGTTAGAATCCGCAGAATTTACTATTGGGATAGTTTACAAGAAACTGTTTCGGCAATAATAAATAGTTGCATTGCATGTAAAAAAATGAAATATGACAGAAAGCCAATTAAACCTATTCTTCAATTAACCCAGACCCAAAAATGCTCCGTTTCAAGAGATATTTATAGACCTGTTTAACATCGAAGGAAAACATTATCTGACTCTCATAGATGCGTTTAGCAAATTAGGCCAAGCGATAGAAATTGCAAATAGATCCACTCCCGAAGTAGTCCGAGTTTTAATGAAGTACTTTTCATTTTACGGGATACCAAAAAAGGTAAGTTCAGATCCGGGCTCAGAATTTAACAATGAATTAATTAAAGAATTCTTAAGCTTACATAAAATTGAGCAGCACATTGGAACCCCAAATAGCCCAAGCTCGATGGGGCTTATACAACGCTTCCACTCGACAATCATAGAAATTTATAGATTGGCAAAATACGAAGGAAAACCTACTGATGCGGCAACAGTTATGACGTATTCCGTACTAGCATATAATAATACTATTCATTCGGTAACAGAACTTACACCCTTCGAGGTAGTTTTCGGACATACCGACACGGGTAGCCCGTTTAATACAGAATTTTATAAGCAGTATTTACAACACTTAGTAAGAGACCATGCAAAGCGAACAAAATTCTTATACAAATATTTAGCAGAAAATGTGGTAGCAATTAAAGAAAAGATTAGGAAAAAGCAAGGCGGTGAAGATAAGATAGTATTTCAGTGTGGTAAGACTATATTTGCTAAGGATACAAACAAAAGAAAGAGCAAGGACAAACCGCGATATGTTAGGGCTAAGGTAGTAGGTAAGGTCGAAAGAAATATAGTGCCAATACAAATAGGTGAAAGGAACACTAAAGCTCCAATTAAAAATATCAAACGCCCTCCACAGGTGGTGCATACTGATGATTACGAAGCCAATCCTGGCGCATCATCTGCAGTCACTTGAAGAAAACCCAGGGATACTTCCGGTAAAACAAGGTCAAGCATATGCCCAAACAGATCACTGGACTATAATAAAGATTTTAAATTTAGAGAATATATATGACGACCTAAATCTAATTATTGCTCAATATCATAAGCTTAGTAGACTAATTGAAGTAAAGGAACCATACCCTCGTGAATTTATCAGTGTTAAAACCCATGTAGAGTACATACGCGATATTACCGTTCAAAAATTCCAACAACTTATGCCACAACGCTTTAAGAGAGGGATCTTAAATCCATTAGGTTCTGTTCTAAAAATTATTACCGGAAACCTCGATCATGAAGATGCTCTTAAATATGATAAACTTACTTCGGAATTAAGTCACAACCAAATTATCGTATCTAAGAAACTTACCTTGGTCTCCAAAATGTTTTATTAATACCACGGAAACTCTAAATAATAATTCCGTTATGCTGGATGCACGCTTGAAAAGTGTAGAATCGTTTAACGACTTGAGAAAATAACTGGGTTTTCTCTATGTATATTTTTGGATTATCTAATTTATTTATAAGTAATTTTCGAACTATATTTTATAAATTAAGTGAAATAGAGACTGCTCTAGCTTTTAGTAGAGTATCGATAATTTATCAATCTATAGTATATTCTACAGAACTTTTAGATCATTTAAAACTAATATCGAATACCGAAAATTTTGTGTACCCACCAACAGAAACTAATTTGGTAACACTAGAACAAACCATAAGTGTAAAATCTTATCTTAAGAAAAACCAGATAGCATTTATAATGGAGATTCCGTTAACTGATAATAATACTTACAATTATTTTAAGGTTTATTCTGTACCTATTTTCCGCGAATCTGTAAACGAAACGATTGCCATCTTCCCAAAATATCCTTACCTACTGGTGAAAGGGATGAAATATTTACCAGTCACGAAACCGTGTCGTCCGCTTGCTGCTGGTAATGATTTCCTGTGTACTGAAGAAAATAGAGCCCTCTACCCTGGACTTACCTGCATAGAACAGCTAATGAAATTTGATAATAATCTTACTTGTTGCACGCAACACGCTATTACAGTTCAAGTCGTTAAGGTGCAACGAATTAAAGCAGAAAATTGGATTGTTTTTACAAAGCTAAAAACGACGCTGACCAAGCACTGCGGTAACGAGATCATCAAACAACCAATTTTTGGAACCTATATACTAACCAGCAATGAGCCCTGTGACCTGGAGATACACGGTACTTATATTCATCACCACTGTGATGAATATAAATACACGAAATACGAAGCGAATATTAATGTAACAAGTACATGCGTAATTAACATGAATGGTGTCAACTTGGACGAAGTGAAATATATGTCAAATGCTTTAAAACACAGAGAAATCTATTACACAGATTTAAGTGCTCTCAATGGAGAAAAAGACTCGAACTTCAGTGTTCTAACATATGTAATTTTAAATTTCCTAGCTTTAAGTTTCTTATTGTTCTTTATATACGTGTTAAGAAAAAATTGTATACCTTACATCCAAAATTATCGTAAAAACATCAAAAATGATATTACCGACAATTTTGCTCTTAGGGAGGGAGGAGTTATGGATACACCCCGTCCCTCTGTTTTAGACTAAAATATTAAAATATATATTATTATTTAGTTAAGTACTTAGTTGATGAATCGAATGTCTGCGCACAAACGAACTCTTTGAATATCGTTCATTATTAAAGCCACCTCCAAATCGGTCGGACATAGTAATCTAATTGTATTTTAGTTTCTAAAAACTCCTTTTGACGTTCCCAAAATTTGACTACCTTGCTTCCCTCTCTTTTATTATAGGTGAGGGCAAACAAGCATGCAGCTCACCTGATGTTAAATGACTACTGCCGCCCATCAACATGTCTCACCTCTTGTTTGACACTCCAATCCCCCGAATTGTACTTATATATATGGAAAAACCCCTAATTTGTATGGAACATTATTTTCTCATTTTCATCAGAACTATAAAATTCCTCACCCTCTCCTATACAGGGCTTCAGCTCTCTGTCTCTCCCCCCTCTATCAAGATACTACATGTTACTAAGCTTTAACCAGATGTTTTCTTTCCAAGTTTCTCTAGATAGGTTTCATCCCCTAATAAAAAAAAATCTAAAGCTGAGCAAGGCTTAGTCACCAAAATACTTTATATAATAAGGGCATGGAAAGTACACCATCATGCATTCAGGTAGTGTGAAGGAAACCAAGCATGTAGATTTATTATACATATTAATTTATAATTGCTAACCTGATCCTTACTGCTATTTGCAGCTCCGTTTTCCAGTTCTGATGACCTTTCTGCACTAGTTCCAGGTTGAGGTGATATTTCTTTAACTTTTCTGTCACCACCTATACCACAACACCTTTGATTTGTATTACCCAGAGGGTTTGATTCTGACTTAACAGTCACATTACTATTGCTTTCTACATTTCTATGCCGATTTGAGCTACCTGGCTCTGTTTTAACTGGACACTGGCTCACAGATTCTGTTTTAATAGTTCTTACAGCTGGCAACTGCTGGACTTCTTCATCACTTGGGGGTTGTGTGTCTGGTTCCAACTTCACATTTGCTGTTTGCCTTCCAGGCTCTTCTTTGATGTTTGGATTATTCATGTTTGTGGAATTGGAGTTATTACATGAACACTTGAAAATTCTATGGTGATGATGATGATGGTGATGATGGTGGTGGTGATGGTAAGGTCTACTTGGGACATTGAAATGGCCTGGGCTGTGTCTATTGCAATCATGTCCACAGTTCCTATGTGCATGTTCTATACCACATGAACTGAAATGAGGATTTGTATTTGGAAGAGTTTGGGACTCTTGTTTTACGGGAACAGTTGGGTTATTCTGTCTGCAATGAGAACTTTGCTGAGTATTTACTGGTACATGACTACAGTGATTGTTAATCGGACTATTTACCACATTTTCATTTTGTGTTCTATTTATTTCAGCATCACCTCCAGATTGAGTAGACACGTCAGCTTGTCCTGTAGGCTCTCTTTTAATATCTACTCTATGAGATGTAATGGAATTACTACTACTCTCACTAGTAGAAACCTCCAATTGAGGATTAGCAGCTGAATATCCAGCACCACTATCACATTGCCTCTTTCTAGGTCCAGTGACATTATCTTCCTCTTCTGAACTCACTTCTATCAAGTTTAAATTGACCTCATTACCTTTTGACTGTCTTCTACGAGGAGAGATATTTAACTTGCGACTTGGTCTTTCTAAGCTATTTTGGGTATTGTTACTGACATAACTGTTATCTACAGGTGAGATGTGATTATAATTATCATTTAAATTGGGTTGTAAGTTTTCATATCCCCTGTGCATGCCATCTTGCAATTGTTGAGGGGTAGAATGTACTGTGTAATTTATAGGTTGGTTTGAATAACCTCTAGGTTCATTGTGTACTATTCTATTGTTAGAATGTGGGGCCAATAAATATTCTCTTCCTTCTGCATTTTGGCCATAATGTCTATAATGAGGATAATAGTAGTCACGTTGGGGATGAAATTGTTTAGGTTGATAGCGAATATTTATATCTGAAAATCTCTGAACATTGGTATTGGTGCTATCTGCATTAGTCCCTCCTAGAACATAATCCAAGGAACTTGAACTATCAGGTAAAGGCTGATACTCTTCAGGTACAGGGGTGTGGGATGATCCAAGATGTGACAGGGGTATGTTCACTATGTATGATTGATTTGTTGAAGTAGAATTTATATAATCAGAAGAAACTGCATTTTTAGGTGTTGACTCATTTCTAGGCAATGAAAATGGCTCAGCGACAGCTGGGAGAACCTCTACCTCATCATCACTCTCCGCAAATAATGGATCACACTCCATTTCTTCTGAAACAGATGTAATTAATAAAAAATTAACAACTTGCCACTATATAAAGACAGAGTTAATAAAATCCTCGTACCATTTCTGGGCTGGTTGTCTGAAGAAGATGTGAAAACTGTGTCCAGAATAGCAGCTAGAGACGAAGGTCCAGGTATATCCCATGAAGGTGAAGATTGTTCACCTTCATATCCTTTTTCAGTCATGATATTATCAATTTTTCAGTAACATATTGCAAAGAATAGTCCCTGTTTTCACCAACAACACACGATCCTTCATAAAAATTCTTAGGGTAAATTACGTGCCCTTGTACAAATCTTTAAGACAAGAAAAGATCTTAAATAATACTAAGTCAATAATTTCATAATAATTCAATTATTTCTTTGTTAAAACATGAAATATTTCTTATAGTGCGACATCACGACCAAAAATTTATTTTATTTTTCCAATTTTCCTTTCCATAGACTATCGGTGTTGTTTTTATCATTTATAATAAATAAGTCAAATAACCATGGATACAGAGTCCTTCTGTCAAAATATTAATAGCCTTATTTCAAAAACTTCTTTTAGTACTGGTTTAAAACAGGATTAAAAGATCTAGGTTTGTATTAGGTTAGCATACTGTAAGTAATAAGTATTGACCTTAATATTAGAATCAAAATGTGTGCTTAATAAAAAACAAAGACTATTTTGACTATCCCGAAATTCGTAAGCATCGTATTAATCTGTGATTCCGAAGCATCCACAGACTAACTAGTAGATTTTACCCGATTTATAACATGAAGTTATAGATAAAGATGGAGACCACGCTCTGAATACCTACTTGAAGCTCAACCTGTGTATTACTATCTCGCTCTTTGTGGGCAGACCCTCTCTTTCTAAGTAGGTAACCTTTATTTTATTTTTCCCAGGATATCGCTATAAGTAGTTGCATTACATTAAGTGGTTTATTTATAAATATTTACATCTCTGTTTACTACTAAGACCTAGCCTATATAGATTATATATATATGTACAATTTTTTTGGGAAATTGGTTTTATGAAGAAAGGTTTTCATTTCCATGGGCAGAACCGGTATCTAAAATATGACCACGCATTTCCATTACAACCCATATAATGCCGAACGTATTTAGAAAATGTGGTAAATAAATATATCAGAAAATATTTTATTACTACCATTTCAATAATGTATTTTCTGGATATTGTATACAATACCTAAACGGTACCAACGAAATATAAAATTAAAGTTTATTATAATACCCCGGGTGATCAATGAATTGGGCAAAATATACCTTATTTATTGTTCAGACAGACTAAATCTATCTCGGGACAATTATTTTAGAAAAATATCACGAGGACTAAAGGAGCGTAGCGGAGCTCCTGCCTTAGCCTTCTGACCTAACCCATCCGAGTCAGGCTGCTCTGAGCTGAAATATGTATAATACTATATTCCACACATCCTGTTCATTTTACGAATTATCTACAATTCCTAGGAATTCTATATAATAACGGATTTCATAGATTTTTAGTAACATATGTTCTATAATAGGAACGATAATATATAAAAAACCTTAAAAAAATAAATAAAAATACTTTCCATATTAAAATTATTTATTGAAATTTTACACATCATGTGGATAACTCTGTGGCGTTTTGAAGTCCTTACAGATATCAGCAAAGCACCCTTGAATAAATATTCTCAATTTCTGACTGACCCGTATACTTTTTAATAGTTGCCATTAAAGAAGACCTATCCTGAATTTTTTTAGTTTGGCGCGCCAATTTTTGCTTAAGAATCTTAGTTTTCGTCTCAAGTATTTCTTCTTTAGTACACTTTATTTTCACTTGCACGTCGTCGTATTCACGGCTGTCCTAAAAAACAAGAAAACCTTATGAAATCAGTATTTTTAGCATCGTACATAGTATTGCTCCGCTCATTAGGTTCGTAGCGTGATGTTAGACAGCCTTCCTGAGGAATTGGTTTTAAAAATGCAAAAAAATATTTTCAAATCTGACTGGTATGGTTCCAGAGATTAGAGAATTAAACAAAAAAAAAAGAAACAAATAACTCTTTTACGTCATAATGTCAGTACAAATTTACATCACTTAATAGGTAACACATATAACACCGGAGCGCGACTTCATGAGCACGCATAAATGAAGCATCAAACAAGAAGCTTCATGCTTAGTGTCGTAGTGACGGTTACCACACTGCGACTGGCACTAAAGAGTTTAAAGTGTGTAAAGAAAATGTGTTTTAAGCTATATAATACATTATGTAATGTAATATTAAAGTCATAATAAATACAAATAAACGGTATGTATTTAGTAATAAAGGAAAAGGAAACTTACAGGTAACTTGTTCAGATTGCATAAATTTTCAAGAATTTTTCGACATTGTTTTTACTAGTTTGGTCTTCAATATTACAGCCAGTACATTTCATCCTTGTTTCCTTAAGTGCAGAACTACTTTCATTAGTTCCAGAACTAGTGCTTGGTATAGCCAGAGAAGCTATTTTTCACAATAGACTCTTCATGTCATGCACTGTCTGCAAATGATAACATATTTTACAAAATGTTGCTTTATGTATATCATACATTTAATCTACTACATTTCTAAATACATAATATATTACGAAAAATAGATAATTAAATTATATTAAAATTTTACCTTGCCTGGTGATACTGTTTCTTGATTTCTTATAACAGTAGGAACTGCTGTTGGTTTTAAGCGCCTTGTTGTTGAATCATAATCTGATTCTTGAAAATGCAAATTGCAAATCCTTGCACTTTCATAATACTTCATTTTCAATGGTACAATGGATAACAACAAATTTCTCCGAGTACTGTTTTAGGAAATCTAAAAAAAATATTCGTAATTATTGTAAACGTTATTAAAGTATCAGAATAATGAGAAACAAAAACTAAGTAATAATAAATTGTCTGCCAAAAGAATATATTGTGTTACTAATTTTTAATTTAATATTATGAAATCTATGAAATCCGTCATTATATAGAATACATAGGAATTGTACATAACTCCTAAATTTCATGCATTTCCGGTAACATAATAAGAAACATATACATATAATTAGTTAAGGTCACACGGAAAGTCTCAGATACATCGTCAATATGGTCACACTACTTCAGTGCGATTTCTTTTAAACAAAAACAATAAAATTATTCAAAGTCAATTAAATTCAATGTAAAACTATTTGATTTTGACAAAGTTATAATTTACTTATATGTTTAAAACACTGATAAAACGTTTCAGCAAAAAATTTAGTGAAAATACAAAGAAGTATGTTTACAAGTATTCAATGCCAGAAGTCACTATTTAAACACTTACGTGTGAAATCTTATATCACTTCCTGGACACCAACTACTGCCGCAACCACGTACTACACTAGTTTGCACCATTTCTTGAATTATAACAATAATTATTTTTAAATATCTCAAACGACGCTGTGAACTGCTAAGTAAACAACCGCCATATTTGTCTAATTTATGTTGACATATAGGGCTAATATTGCCACATTACTGAACCCTTAGGAAATGGGATTGTAATTCACTGATTCGTTAACCCAATAATGCATACGAGACCTTTCAATTTTGGAATTTTTAATGTAACTAATCGTAGTTAAACTATTTATTTATTGGAACAATATTTTTCAGAGCTTAACTTCTGATTTGGTTATTGTGGAAACTATTTCTAAGAATTTACCAGGAGATTTAAATAAAAACATAGCAATACTGTATTCCACACTAAAAAGAGAAGTCAGACCACAGAGAGTGAGATAAAGATACATAGGTATTTGACTCAAGCTGTTGTTCCAAGTGTGGCCTCCATCTTTATCTATAACTTCATGATTTATACGCCAGACGCCAGTATATTCTATGTCTATGTAATTTCTCCAGTTCTATTTTAAATGAAGGTTTCATTTTCTTTATCCATTACTTAGATTTAGTTTGTGTTCCTATTTCTTTAAATTATATCAACTGCAATATTATAATAAATCTTTTATACTACATCTAAGTTGGGGCACATAAATTCATATTTATTTTTACGTAAAAAATAAAGTATAAATAAATGTTTGATAATAATAAGCATTTAATTACATTAAGAGTACATATTTTCACAGATCTATCACAAAAACCCAAGGCTCTACATACATTTTTTTTCAGCAAACAATGTTTAAAAACTTTAAATCTAAACCAACTACTCTGAGACTGTACAAAAGTGACCTCCACATTTTAACGTATATTTATGTAAATAAGTACTTCGAGTATTGAAGCAGATTTATACAGTAACTTGAGCTTCTGAGGTAAGCAAAATCACAAGTGGTCCATGAGTACGCTCACTGGAACTAGAATAAGAGTTACACAAAAAAAAGGTTTTTTTTTTACTTAGAAATTAGTGGTTACAATAAATTAATTTCTGAATGATTAAGTCGATTGCTTGGACAAACTGTTCTATTTTCAAGATATATATTTAATTAGGTTTAATCTGAATTAAAAACCTTGCAGGGTTTCTAAGAACTTTCATAAAATCAATGCTAACAAAACAATACAAAAACAGTACAAAACATCCAAAATGTGTCAAGACGAATATGGATAAGACTAAGATTGATTAGTTTCAAACAAAGTATTTCTGATATTATCAATAGGTGAACACGCTGCATATTATTTATGATTTCAAAAACAATAGTGGTTGGTGGTCCTGCCTCATACGCCGGAGGTGACATGACTTGACATGCCGCTTACAACAAGCACGCTGCGTTCGTCTCGTGCTGCGCACCCGCCTCGTATTGCTGTACCACCTCGTATTGTGCGAGCCGCGTCCACACCAAGCGCCGCACCTGCGGTGCCACCAAGTGTGCGTACGCCACAACGTGTGCAAACACCACCGTGTGTGCGTGCACTACTGCGTGAACTAGTGCCACCGCGTATATGGATCATGCCACTGACACTACCCTGACTGTATCAACGACAATACCAACATGCAAAAGAAAAACAAAATAAGCCAAGCAAACACAAGAACATTTTTTTTTTAATAAAAAGCTCTTAATCTAAGTGGAATTCTGATCGCGGCGAGCGACTCACGCAATTTATAACCGAAAGGCCAGCATAGAAACCCATACAGAGCGGTGCCGCGAATCCCAGCAGTCGCTGCCGAACAGTAGCTGCCAAGATCAGAATGCCTTTG